CGTCTTATGGTTGCCCCCCCCCCCCCCCCCCCCCCTTCGCCGTAACGATCCGTCCCGGCAGCATTGTACGGATGAGCCGAGGTCAATGGTCTAACGACTACGGCATCATGCGTTTACATGCGTACTCCCGCCCCCGCTGCTTCGCCCTGTCATTGTTTTCGGTACATTCATCGACTGCTTGTACGGATCCCCCCCCCCCAACTCAGGTTCCCGCGGCCACAAACCTCGACGGTGGCTGCAGTAGACCAGCTTCTGGGAGGACTGCCAGTGCAGTGCTGGGCGGAGGTCATGGAGCAGGCGGGGCTATCACACCGTACCAAGGAGGACGTGCTTTCCCCTACGGAGTTCCAGCGCGTCGTAGAGGTGAGCTGCTTGTTGTGGTTTAACGTTGCTGGAGGCAGGTTGTGTTGTTGTGGCAGGTGTTGTTCGAAGCGTGGGGGTCGGTCTCTCTTCTTTTACAGTAGCCTCTCGCAGGGTTTTTCTATTTGGTAAGGAGCTGTTCCTGATGGTTTGTATTTTTTTCAAGATCGAGTGCCAAAAGTTAAGAAATATGATGTTGAGCAACGAAGAGGAGTGTGAAGATGAAAATGCTTTACTTGCAAACGATTGCAACTCCTACGTAGATTTTTTCGACTTCAGTGTGTTCATCCCCCTACTTCCTCTGGTTGGTCATCGTTGCCATGTTTTTCACCTACAGCAGTACGCCATTCTATCTTGTAGTATGGCCATGTAGTTTTAGATTGACGTACCTTCTTTTACTCCTTGTTTCTTTCTTGTTTGTTTTTTGTTTGTTTTTGGGTGCGCGGCTCCGCGCTTTTTGTTCTCTCTGGCTTGTCTGCTCATGGCTCTTTTTGATCGGGGTCTTGTCGTTTTCCAAGCTCTTGCGATTTCGCAAATTCGCGGTCAACACCGCAGGGCGCATCATCAACATACCGGTCTTGTGCATGCATCATGTCTCGTCTGCAGTACCATATTTATTGGCACTCCTCCGAAGACCACAACTAGTACCATCTGGACTAATCCCCCCCCCCCCCCCCTTTACCGCTCGTGCGTGTGAATTTTCGGGGCCCCCCAACAACGCCCCCCGACTATCCTTTGCCACCGCAACGCCCCGTTTTGTCCCCCCCGGGAAAAGGCCAAGCGTCACGCGGGCCAGGAAAATTTTCTTGGGATCTCTCTGTCTCTCATTTCGCCCACCCCGACCCCGTTTTTGAAGGGAACCGAACTACCGGGGGAAGGGACACACCCGGAAATGAATACCGGGGTCAAGGGAAAACCCGTTTTTTTTGGTTTTTTTTCCCCCAGGCACTTTTGGGGGGTGAAAAATCCGGGGACCCTGTCAACCTTTTTGGGGCGAGTTTCTTGTTTTGGCGGGGGGGAAAAATTCTGCTGAATTTCTTGATTTGGATTTTTTAAAATTTGAAAACCCCCATCGGAGGGGGGGGAAAACGCCCTCATGTCTTGGGTTAAAAAACGAAGGGAAAACAGCCCCCCTGCCGCCCCCCTGGAGGGGGGGGGGTATGGGAAAACCTCCGGGAGAAGAACCCTTCGGGTTGGGGAGTAAACAACACAAAT